TGATTATTAGCCCAAAGGAGAGGGGGCAGCGCACCTGGGAACCCTCGGGAGTGGAGGGAAGGCACAGGCCCCAGAAAGAAGGTTCTGGGCCAGGTGGCCCCAGGGCCAGGGTCTGTGCCAGGTGTGGGCGGTGGGTGTGGAAATGGGGGGGAGGTGAGTCAGCCTGGCCTGCCACGCCCTGCTTTTATTTAAGGTCCCAGCAGCATCCCCAGCAGCGCCATTGCCCACCGTCCCAACCATGGCAGGGAGCTCTGTGAGTGGGGGCCTGGGGCTGGGGGGTCTTGGACCCAAGGGTGCACCGGACTCGGGGAGGGGCTGGGCCCGCCTGACGTCCCCTGTTTGAAAGGAGAAAGTGGGTGCTAGGGTGTGCTAGGAAGTGTCTGGGCTGTGGCTCTTGGGTTGACCCAACCCAACCCAATGCTCCCATCTGCCTTTGGATTCTCTGTGTGTGTGTGTCTGTTGATTCTGTGTGTTTCTCTCCCCACCTCTGCCTGGCTCGGGCTCTCCTCTCTCTCTGTGGCCTTTCTTGTCAGCGATCCAGCTGGTCTGGGTCCGGGTCGTTTTCTCCCTGGGGCTGACCCATCTGTCTCTCTCCTCTGCGTCCCTGGTTCCCTTGGACCCCGCACCGCTGGTCCTGCAGAATGTGCCCCACAAGACCTCGCTGCCCGAGGGCATCCGAGTCGGCACGGTGATGAGGATTCGTGGTGTCGTCCCGGACAAGGCTGGCAGGTGAGGCCCCAGACCCCAGCGGTAGAGGTGGGACGTGTGACCCCGACTTTTTCCAGCCCAGACGGGAGGGTGCCAGAGCCACCTATGTCCGCCAGGGTCTTGGAGTCCCCGGGCCATCACTGACTTCCTGCAATCTCATGTCTTCACTTCCTGGTCCCATGGCTGTGTACGAGCTGGGGTGTCTGTGTGGCCCTAGGAATCTGGGAGTTCCAGGGCAATCTCAGGATTCCTACCTACAGTCCTATGACTCCCAGTCTGAGTCCCCAGGAGCTCTGGAAAGATGTCCTGTGATCTGGAGGTGGCCCGGGCACCTGGGAAACCCAAGCAATCAGGCCTGAGACTTCCTGGGCCCCGGCAACTGTGGGCTTTGGGGGAATCCCCGGTGCCTGGACTAATGGGGTCCGTGGTATCGTTCCTAGCCCTCTAGGGGTTAGGGGGAATACCCTGGGGATGGGGAGCACCCTGGCCGCGGGCACCATGACTCATGGCAACTCTTAGAGGCTTTGGATATTGAGGGGACCCACGCCACAGCAGTGTGACCCTCGTGTAGGTGGATGTGTCCAGGGTCCCTCTCTAAGTTTTTGGATGCCCTGGAATCTGGGTCCTGGCCACCAGTCCACAGCCCTCCTTCTGTGGTGTGCGACATTTCTGGTCTTTTAAATTTGCACGTGCACGGGCAACGGTGAGTCAGGCCCTTTGGCCCCTGAGGTCTATCTGAACCTCCTCTCCACGCCCAACCCCCAGGTTCTATGTGAATCTGCTGTGCAGCGAGGCCCCGGGGAGTGAGGCCGCCCTGCATTTCAATCCCCGCCTGGATGAGTCAGCTGTGGTCTTCAACACCCTGGAGCAGGGCACCTGGGGCCGAGAGGAGCGCGGCTCAGGCATTCCCTTCCAGCACGGGCAGCCCTTCGATGTGCTCCTCATTGCCACGGAAGAAGGCTTCAAGGTGGGTCCCGGCCACCGCCAGGCGTGGAAGCCAGGGCGGCTGCTGGTGGAGGAGGGGAGCAAGGGCGTGGCCGTGCTGGGCAGGGGCTTCCCGCGTCCCCCTGCTCCCCCCGGTGCATCCCCGCTGGTGTCCGAAGGCAGGGGGGCGGCAGCGGCAAGGCCCAGCGCGCAAGAGCCAAGTGCCCAGAGGGTGGGGGTCCCCTCGCGGGCCAGCGGGGCCCCGGTTTTCTCCCCGACAGCGTGTGAGGCCGAGGCTCTGGGGCGGGGGCGGGGCGGGAGACCGGCCCAGAAACACGCGCCGGCGGGCGGCGGGCGCTGCAGACCCTCCAGCGCCCAGGCCGTGCACCGC